AGTTGTTGCAAATGGCAGGATTTCCTTCTCTCACATGGCTGTATCCTGAATATGTTGCATCTTCTTTATCCATTCATCCACTGATGGACGTTTAGGTTGTATCCATATTTTGGCTATTGTGAACAATGCTGTGATAAATCTAGGAGTGTAGATATCTTTTCGATATCTTTTTTTTCATTTCCTTTTCAATATACACTCAAAAGTGGAATTGCTGGATCATATGGTAGCGTCCTTGATTGTGTTCTTTGATGCACAGACTTTTTTTTTGATGAGGTCCAATTTACCTATGTTTTTCCTTTTTTTGCCTGTGTTTTTGGTGTCATACCCATGAAATCATTACCATCTAAAATATTTCTAGATATATAAATAAGCACAGGTTAAGAAGTACACATATAATTCTTTGCCCTGTCAACCAACGGGTGCCCAGAAGCAATGACCCTTCAGTACCAATGAGCATACTTAGGGCACAGATCTAGTTTTGTCAATACCATTTGACAATAAAAGGAACAAGGGCTCCATGGAAAAAATGATGATTCTAGAAGTGGGACAGGAAATATGGATAATGAGCCTGGAGCATCTTGTATGGTGTGAAAATTTAAAAAAAAAGAAAAAGAAGTGCTCAAAAAACTTTCAAAAGAGGAAGCAACATTTCCAGGGGTATGACAAAGGTATATACAAAAGGAGATGACAGGAAGAGTTCCCAATGTCCAATCCGAGAACAATTGGAGAATAAAAATATATAAAGTTGTATTGGATTTTAACCCGACGTGTAATAAAGATACCATGATTCCATACTGAGAAACAGAAATAATTTCTTAATTACATAAACAAGGATAGGCAAGTGTTCCACACAGAAAAATTCCAGTTTGTGCAGACACTCCCACTTGTAGAAAGGGGAGCATAACTCCCCACCCCTGAGGCATGGACTGCACATCGTGACTTTCTTCCAAAGAGGACAGGATAGAAAGGGGGCATAAAATAATCACTTTATCGCATAGACACATGAAAAGCACTACCTCAGCCACATGATCAATGAAAGCATCATCAGTGATCAATTGTGCTAATAGTATAAAGACTTGATACAATGTGATGAGAATAGGGTTTTACATCTGTAAAATTCCTCCCCCGTACTAGTAATTCCAGACTAGTCATGAGTAAAATATCAGACAAATACAAGTCAAGGGACATGGTACAAAACATCTACCGAGTACTCCTCAAAACTGTCAAGACCATCCAAAACAAAGAAATGTTAAAGCTAAGAGGAACCCAAGGAGACATTACAAGTAAATGTTAGGGTATTTTCCTTGCCAGGATCCGGGAATGGGTAAAACTTTTCTGAGTAAAATATGGGCTTTAGTTGATAATAAACAATGCATCAATACTTCTTCATTAATTGTAATAAATATATCAGATTTCTGTAAGATATTAGGAATAGGGGAGACTGGGTGAGGGGCATAAGAGACTTCTGCTATTCTCACATTTTATTTTTTTCAAATCATAAAAAGTTACAAGGGTTAAAAGGGTTACAAAGGAAAAGGTGAAAAAAAGCCTATTTTCAAAATAAAAAAGGCAAGGAAACTTTGGGCAACACATGCTGAGTATGTTAAAAAAGGAAATAGAAAGGAAACCAAACACAAGCACACGGAACCTGTAAGTGTGAAACCACCCTTGCTAAATTAGCTTCAACTCTTCCTCTCCCTTAACCTCCAATCCCATATAATATACTCACCGGGCCTCTTCCACCACAGACATCTCTGGATCCACTTTTTTCTCAGTTCCCACAAACACTGCCCTAATCCAACCTCATAGATGTTTTGCCTGGGATATGGCAAAGGCCACCAACTGAGGCCAGGTGTTCACCTGGAACCCCGTACTTGCTCAAAAACCACTTTAAGACGTCTGCCAGTGTTATTTGCCACAGAAGTCTGTCAAGATCCATGCAGGGGTCAATATCTTGCCAAGGATAAAAGGGTCCAGAGCAAACCTTTAGCTGTGTGTCCATGTGAGTGCTCAGTCGACCAGTCATGTCTGACTCTTTGCGACACCATGGACTGTGGCACAACCCCCCACCCCCACCACATCTCNCCCCCCCGTCTCCTCTGTCCATGGGATTTCCCAGGCAAAAATTGTGGAGTGGGATACCTTTTCCTCCTCGAGAGTACCTTCCCACCCGGGATCGAACTTGCATCTCCCATATTGCAGGCGGATTCTTTAACACTGAGCCTCCAGGGAAGCCATGAGGAAACACAGGGACTTCTCAGAGGAGCAGAACATTCACCAAGAATCCTTAAGCCAGGGGAGTTGCCTGTCCAATCGGTGATGCCCTGGGCAAGATCAGCTTGGGAACAGGGTGGTGTGTGTCCACACAGAGGCTGTTGCAGAAGATGCTGGATCCTGGAAATGACCTCCAGATAAGTTGGTGGGGGTGAGGGGCAGTTTGGGCCTCCTTGCAATCAAAGGCCTGATGTTCTTATGTACCCAGAGCAAGAACCCAACCACACCGAACAGTCATGTCCCATAAGGCCATGAGGAGTACCTGCCATGAGAGCTGCCACATATACATCATGGAGTGCCCCCTGGGGCTGTGGTCCCAGCCTTGTCCCCAGGGCACAGACATCCTCATGGAGGCCGGGGCGGCAGCTCACCTGCAGCAGCACCTGCTCCCCCCTCCCTCTCCCGGCCAGCCCCGGGCAGGTCTGATGGGATCTCCAGGGGCTTGCTGCATCCATGTCTCTGGGGATGTTGACCCTCTATGCAGCCTGCACCCCGGGGCGCCAGATTACTCTCCTGCCTGGCTCCTTTCTGAATCCTCATTGGAGTTTGAGGCCTCAGGTGCCTGGGAGAGCATCCTCCCAGGCATCTCCTAGAGCTTGTCCCCTGCTCAAACAGCCCGATTGGGGACAACAAAGTCCTAGCTAGCTCTGCAGTGGCTGACTAGACACCCCTCTGCCTCTAACACTCAGGCTGAAAAGCCAGGACCTCACAGTTACATTCACAAACCCCGAGCTTACTCCAGCACCCTCCGCAGGGATTCCACAGGGAATGAATGGTCAGATACACCTCAGGACCTTAGAGATGCGCCCCGCACTTCCATGGCAATGACTACTGCTGACCCCTCACAAGACTTGCCCAGGGGCTGCATCAAGACCTGCTGGCTCCACCTAAAGCACCGTGAAAGGGGATGCTGCTCTGGGATTTGCAAATAAAGTTACACACATGAGGTCATCAGGACCAGGGCCTAATCCACTCTCAGTGCGGGGTGGGGGTGGGGGGTAAGCAGGAAAAAACCCAAGGCCAAGTTCCAGGGGACAGGGGGCACTGTGGGCAGCAGGGGGGCGGCCTCAGGGCTGGGCCCCATGAGGAGGATGACCCCAACCCCAACAGGGGACTTTGGCAGCTGGCTGCTGCCCTCCTGATGGAGACTGAGCACAGCCCCGAGGGGGCTGACAGTGCAGCTCGTGGGAGGCAGGGGCGGGCTGTAGGTCTTTGGTGGGGGTGGGTGGATTTCCTGCAGCCAATTCCCTGTGGAGCAGCCTCTCTCAAGGGTCAGAGGTGAGGTGTTTTAGTCTCTGGAAGAGGAACCACACTCTGAGTGGTCTGTGTCTGTGTATTGTCCTGACTTGAGGATTAACCCCCAGGTGCCCGTGTCCCTTCAGAACAAATGGACATTGACAAAAATGCTTCTGCTCAAAATTCAGTGGACCCGGGTCACTATATGACCCTTCCTAAGTGAAGAGGCCTGGCAGGGTCATGTCCCCATGTGTGCAGGGAGAGAGGAAGACAAGATGTGACTGAACACCTGACATCTCTCCAATTCCACACTGCCTAGCAGATGCTCCACAAAGAGCAACAGTTAAAACTCTCCTTTGCTTTAGGGAGGAGAGTCTGAGCAGGTCACATGGGTCTTGAAATTCTCCACCTTTTCCAAGCGTCCACTGACTATGTGGCCGCTACCATATATGTGGCCAGAATCACATCTCCTGTTCCCGTTGTTCTCTGGCACTCAGCATGGAGAGGTGCCCCTTCAGCCCCCTGCACCCATCCACACCCCCACTGCAGTGACCTCACCACCTCCTTAGGCCCGGAAGTTGCTCCTGCCTTTTCATGCCAGGCACAGCCTTAACCTGTGTCTCTGCTGCCTCCACACTTCTGAACGTGCCCGAACCCAGGGATGCTGGCAAATGTTTCATCTTTACTAGCTAGTACTTATTCCTCATGCTATTCAGATCTCAGACTCTGTCCTTCTCCCCTCTGGAAATTGTTTTCTTTTCAGGACACCTCAGAGAATTGGCAGCTTAATTAGAAATGGAATAGAAAACCACTCAGAATTGCTGTTCTGTGTTTTCCTCCCAGAGAATATATTATCAATTTCGGGTTCTGTGTGTGTTTCGGGGTGGAGAGCAATGACTCCAGCTGGGCACAGCTCACTCAAAGATCCCAGGATTCTAGTCACACAGCAGGTCCTGTCCACTTTTGCAGCTTCTCTTCACTCATTTCATCCAAATGAAATCTAGACCATGCTCACAAGTGAAAATCATAAAATCCAGATCACCAAATAAACTGTTATTTCAATGTACTTGGTAATCAGCTTCCCAAGGCAGAGACAAGAGGGCTAGCATAAGGAATACTGGGCCATATATCAAAGAGCAAGATTCACATTTCTCTAGGATTCCTAGCAAATGGTGGATAGAAAACACCTATTTCATCCCTGTGGTCAACAGCTATGGGACAAGAGCCAGGACCCCTTCCTGCCTGCCCTAGAAAGAGATCTCTCTGGGGTTTATCCATGAAGCAAAAGGACACCTCATAGCAATGATCCATTTCAGAGATTCCCCTCATCCCCAAGACAAACCTCATGTGACTGCGGCTCCTGGACCATTGCTGTAAGTGTGGGGGTGCCCTGCTGCTCCTAGTGTCCCCACTGCTAGCATGGCCTTTCACGAAGCAGAGAATCTGTACACGTCTTTGGAATAACTGAGCCAGTGAGCAGGGGTCTCAGATTGTCTGCTAATTTCTTTAATAACCCAGGAAAATTCAATTAACTGAGATCATTTAGTTATTGTGAATGACAGACAAGAAGGACATAAGCATGAATTCACTATGATTACTTTTATTATCTAACTCTTTTCCATTCAATACTGTTGCTACATAAGTTCACGTTTTCAAAACAGTTCTAATTTTGATTCCATTGCATTCTGTTCAGGACCAGAAAACAAAATGGAAGACTTTAGAATCTCTTTTACAAAACAACAAAACTCTTGTTTTTGAACTGTGTAACCACAAAAACACTCGGATCAATATCATTCACAAAGCTAAGATATTAAAGTTTCTTTAGCCTTCTCTGAAACCAAACTTTGAAAAATTTCTAAAGAAAACAGAGTTGAATCCCCATGTCATCATAGAGAACAGGAACCAAAAGACGCTACACACTGGTTCCCCCAATTGCCCGGGCCCTCACATTTTAGAAAGCTGACTACCCCCTCTTTAATCACAGATAGATGGATCAAGCTGGCTGCTGCTGTCTCAGGCCCCCTATTCCTCCTCCCTTGCATCCTCTGCAGACAGGAGTGGGAAGGCCCTCCAAGCCCTTTCATTGACCCTGAGCATAAATGCCATGACTTGCCACTTGCTGGTCTCCACATAGGCCCGGGGACCCCACAGGAACTCATAGCGAGCAGGGTGGCTGTCAGGCACCTGCTGGTATTCCAGGTATCCCTCCCGCACCCACACTTGGGTCAGCAGCTCCCTGGGCTCCCCAAAGACACAGTGCTCCCTCCCAACATACACCTCCAACCTGCTGAGTGCTCCCCAGACCACCTCCTCAGGGGCCGGGTCTCCACACCGCATGATCACACTGAGGACCAGCACCAGGAAGCCAGCTTTGGGCAGGCCCACCCCATCGCTTGGCATCTCATCGCAGGTGAGGCCCAGGATGGGGACCAAGATGTAGGTGTGCTCCACTGGGTCCACCTCCTTCACATCCACGCCAAAGACCAGCCTCAGGCACTCTGAGACTTCACTGAAGACCACCGGGAAGTGCTCCTGGTTATCCCTGAAGACCTTATTCAACATTTCCACCTGAGAAGTCAGCTCCTTGGCTCGATACTTGAGGAGCAGGAACTTCATCAGGTTAGTCATCATCCTATCCAGAATTTCTTGGGGCAAGTCCTCCACAGGAGCGGAGGAGGATGCTGGGGGGTAGGAGGTCAAGTGGGATGAGGCCTCTCCCACCTCAGCCTCCAAGTGTGGCACCTCGACAGGGCTCTGGGCTTCGCCTGGGTCCTGAAGGTCTTCCGCGGGTTTGCTGAGCTCACTCATCTCAACCACGAGCACAATGCCTGAGGTCAAACAAGATACGGAAGTGAGGCAGAGGTACAGATGGGGACCAAGGGCCTCTGGGAGAGAGGAGGTGTGAGCAACCTGGGCTAAGAAATGCATCCTGGATGGTACGACACAGGCCACTTCCAGCTCTCCCCTTGAGGGGTGCTCTCAGACCTCACAGGAGTGCTCCTGGGAGGCCATTCCCCTGGCTACCCAAAGGAGGAAGTGAGTTGGCTCCTCAGTGTGTGGGCAACACAGCCCGAGATTTCTGGGTCCAACAAAGTGGGAGGAATTGGGGCCTCCTGGGGCCCCTCTCTGTTCTGGGATATGGAGCCTCTGGTTCACTTCAGGTTACCCTCTCACCTTGACTCCTGATACTGCCTGGACCTCTTCTGCTCTCTGACCTCAGGACACAGGCTTCAGACCTCTGCCTTCGCCTCCTGGTTCCTGAAGCTCCTGTGAGAGAAATGGAGGTGACATCTACAGCCTTCTGTGCTGGTAGGTGGGGACAGACACTCTGACTACACCCAGTTGTATGGTGGGTCACCTTTCCCCTGGCATGGCCTGGACTGTCCCCTTTGGAAGAGTAGAAGGAAACTCAAAACAAGACACAAGCCTGAACAGAAAGCGCTGAGAGGCCCCACATGCGGCCACACCTGCCCAGGGCCTTGCGAGGGTCCTAGGCTGTGGAGATGCTCGGTCCTCAGCTCCTCCTCACGTCCTGCCTGGCCTCCCAGCACTGACCACAGTGGCAGGGTTCTACTCAGTCCAACCTCGGGGTTGGGGAGTACAGCCTCTGCCAACCTGAAGCCTCTGCCCTCTGCCCATAAAACCTCACTTTCCGAGGACCCTAACCCAGCGGTCAAGAAACTGCTCACCCTGCTCACCCCTCTCTGGGCCCCCCAAGACCCTCTGGCAAGGGTCAAGATCCCTCCCTGTTGGGGTCGAACCGCCTCAATCCTTCCTCGCATGGAGCCCGGACTCCAGGCAGGACACGCGATTGCTCTGTCCGCCATTTTGAGACCCCGCCCCGTTCACAAGGCCTCCAGTCCCTCTGAGACCCGCATGTCAGGAAGTCAGACAGACCTAGTGTGCTCTTCTCACCCCAAGGGCTCCCAGGACCGACTACAGGGATGGGGATCTGTGGGGTTCCATCGATCCTCACTCAGGGTACCCGCAGTCCTCCTTCAGGAACCTCACCTTGCCTCCACGCAGGACCTGGATTCTCGCCTCTCTGCAAATGAAGCCCCGCCCCTTATACCAGGACCCCAGTCTCTTGAAGACCCGGATGTCAGGAAGTCAGCTAATGCCTGTGGCACTCATCCTGCCCCCACGGTTGCCCTGGATTGACAACAGAGATGCGCTTCTCTGAGGTCTCCTCTGATTAGGGGTCAGGGTCCTCTAGTCCCTCTTCAGGGTCCTCAAGTTCTTCACACCTGCAGGACCTGGGAATAGACCCACCTGAAGCCCCACCCCATATGCGAGGTCCCCATTCAGAGACCCGGATGTCAGGAAGTGAGACGATGCACTTTGGGCTCATCATATCCAAGATCCACCAAGGACCAACAGCAGCTCCAGGCTTTTCTGAGGTCTCCTCTGATTGGGGTCCAAGGTCCCCACAATCGTCCCTTAGGGTCCTCAAATTGAAACCCTGGAGGAGCTGGGCCTCTTCCCTCTGCTCACCTGAGGCTACGCCCCCTTTCCCAGGTCGCCAGTTTCTCTGAGACCCAGATGTCAGGAAATGCAGCATGTGCTCATCCACCCTCTGTGCTCCCTGAGACTTGATGTGAGGGTCCCGCCTCTGGTCAACACAAGGGGCATCCCCAGATCTGCCAGGGCTCAAGATGAGGTTCCTGAGGGAGGATATAAGGAACCCCACAGATTCCTGACCCTGCTGTCAGCCCTGGGCCACCCTGGTGGTGGGATGAGCACTTGGCAGCCTCTTCTGACTTCCACATCTGTGTCTCAGAGATATTAGGCAATTGTTAGAAGGGGCAGGGCCTCAGATTGGCAGTGGGAAAGATCTTTCTTTTGAGAGTCAAGGTGAGGACACTGAGGAAGGCCTGAGGGGACCCTGGACCCCAGAGCAGAGTGGGCTATGAGGGGACATAGGGTGGATGTACGTATGCTGCATTTCCTGACTGGGTCTCAGAGAGAATGGGGATCTGGTATAGGGGGCTCACTTCCTAATATCCAGATTTCAGTCTGGTGTCCTAGTATAGAGAGATGACTTACTGACATCCGCATCTCAGAAAGACTGGGGTCCTGGTATGGGGTTTGGGACATTAATAGGGGAGAGGATAGAATCTGAAGTCATACCTGGAGATAAGGTGAGGTCTCTGAGGGAAGGCTGAAGGGATCCCAAGGTAAGACTGATGGAACCCCACAGATCCCTTCCCCTGCCATCGGCCCTGGGAGCCCTCGGGGTGAGAAGAGCACACTAGGTCTGTCCTGAGTTCCTGACATCCAGCTCTGTGAGACTTGGGACCTGGTGTGAGGAGCAGGGACTACGGTGGGGAGAGGACAGAGACTAGGTCCTCCTGGAAATCAAGGGAGGACCCTGAGGGAGGACTGAGGGTAGCCAGATCTCAGAAGAGAGGGAACCCTGGTCGTCCCTGGGCAGGATGACCTCATGCCGCATTGCCTGACAACCCTGGCAGATAGACTAGGGACCTCTTGAAAGCAGGGAAACCTCCAAATGGCAAACGGGACAACTGCAGGTCTTGTCTGGAGTCTAGGCTCCATGCAGGGAAGGACTGAGGCAGTTAGACCCCAACAGGGAGGGATCTTGGCCCTTGCAGGAGGGTCTTGGAGGACCCAGAGTGGGGTGAGCAGTTTCTTGACGTCTGGCTTAGGGACCTCGGGAGGTGAGGTTTTTCAAGCAGAGGGCAAAGGCTTTTGTCAGCAGAGGCTGGACTCCTCAACCCCAATGGAGGACTGAGCAGACCCCCACCTCTGTGGTCAGTGCTGGGAGGCCAGGCAGGATGTGAGGAGGAGCTGAGGACCGAGCATCTCCCTAGCCTAGGCCCCACAGTCGACCCTGGGCAGGTGCGGCCGCATGTGGGGGCCCTCGGCGCTTTCTGTTCAGTCTCGGGTCTTGTTCTGAGTTTCCCTGCAGGCCCCCAGAGGGGAGGGACCAGGTTGTGCCAGGGGAAATGTAAGCACTACAAGGGAGCTCTGAGGGGACCTCTCACCACACAACTGTGGGGACCTCACAGTGTCTACCCCTCATACCGTCAGAGAATGCTCAGGGCTGTGCCACAGGATACCACCAAGGTGCCCTCTCCATTTTTCTCACAGGAGCTGCAGGAACCAGGAGGTGAAGGCAGACGTCTGAGGCCCATGTCCTGAGGTCAGAGAGCAGAGGAGGTCCAGGCAGTGCCAGGAGTCAAGTGACGAGGGTGCCCTGATTGGACACCAAGGGCTGCCCATCCCAGAACAGAGGGGACCCCACAAGGGCCTAATCCCCTTGTCAGTTCCAGAAATCTAGGGCTGTGCTGACTACACCCTGGGGAGCCACCTCATTCCCTCCTTCAGGTAGCCAAGTGACTGGTCACTCCAGAGGCATGCCCGTGTGAGGTCTGAGAGCACTTTTCAAGAGGAGACCTGCAAGTGGCCTGCGGCTGCCCAGGGTGCGGTTCTCAGGTGAGGCCATTCACAGCCCATCTATCCATCCAGACCCGTGGTCCCCATCTGTCCCATTTGCCGCCATGCCTCACTGCTGCCTCACTCTGTGGTTTGATCCCAGGCATCATGCTCTTGGTCGAGATGACTGAATTGAGCAAGCTCGAGGAAGACCTTCAGGACCCAAGTGAGGCCAGGGCCCTGTGAAGGTGCAGCTCTCTGGGGCTGAGGTGGGGGAGGCTGCATCCCCCTCAGCCTCCTCCCCAATAGCCTCCTGCTCCACTCTTGCAGAGGCCTTGCCCCCGGAAGCTCTGCATGAGATGGTGGCTAACTTGATGAAGTTCTTGTTCAAGTAGTATCTGGCCAAACATCTGACATCCCAGGCAGAAATGCTGAAGAACGTCCTCAGGGATAACCAGGAGCCCATCCCGGTGGTCTTCAGTCAAGCCTCAGAGTGCCTACAGGTGGTCGTTGGCCTGGAGGTAGAGGAGTTGGACCCCGGGGAGCACATCTACATCATGGTCCCCACACTAGGCCTCACCTACTATGTGATGCTGAGCAGTGGGCAGAGCCTGGCCAAGGCTGGCGTCCTGGTGCTGGTCCTCAGCCTGATCATGCTGAATGAAGACCTGTCCCCTGAGGAAGCAGTCTTGGGAGCACTCAGCAGGATGGGGGTGTGTGTTGGGAGTGAGCACTGTCTCTTTGGGGAGCCCAGGGAGCTGCTGACCCAAGTGTGGGTGCGGGAGGGATACCTGGAATACCAGCAGGTGCCTGACAGTCACCCTGTTGGCTGAGCTCCTGTGGGGTCTCCTGGCCTATGTGGAGACCAGCAAGTGACAAGTCATGGTGTGTGTGCTCAGGGTCAAACAGAGGGTTTTGAGGGCCTTCCCACTCCTGTCTACAGAGGCTGCGAGGGAGGAGGACTCGGCAGCCAGAGCCAGAGCAGCAGCCAGTCTGATCCTTCCCTCTGTCATTGAAGAGGGAGTAGTCAGCCTTCTCAGAAGTGAGGGCCCCGGCCAGTTGGGAGAACCAGTGCATAGCATCTCTGGGCTCCTGTTCTCTACAATGACAAGGAGATTCATCTGTTTTCCTTAGAAAATTTTCAAGCTTTGATTGTTTTCACAAAAGACTAAATTTCAGTGTCTTAGCTTGGAGAATGAGGTTGATCACTATGTGTTTGTGCTTACACAGTTCAATAACAAGAGTATTACTGTTTTGTAAGAGATGGAAACTCTTCCATTTTGTTTTGTGACCCTGAATGGGACACAATGGAATTGGAATTAGAACCATTTCGGAAATGTGAGCTTGTGGTGGAGTGGTGGAGTCCCTCAGTCATATCCAACTCTTTGCGACCTCATGGACTGTAGCCCACAAGGCTCCTCAGTCCATGGGATTTTCCAGACAAGAGTACTGGAGTGGGCTGCCATTTCCTTCTCCAGGGGATCATCCTGACCCAGGGATGGAACACGGGTCTCCTGATTGTAGACAGATGCTTTACTATCTGAGCCACCAGGGAAGCAGTAATATTGATGGTGGAAAAATTAGATGATAAAAGTAATTGTAGTGAATTTATCCTTCTGTCCTTCTTGTGTGTCATTCTCAAAAACTAAATTATCTTTATTTGGATTTGCCTGTGTTATTTAAGGAATTAGCAGACAATTAATCTGAGACCCCTGTTCACTGGCTCCTATATTCCGAAGACCTTTACGGAGTATCTGTTCCAGGAAAGGCCATGTTAGGAGTGGGGACACTAGGAGAAGCAGGACACCACCACACCTACAGCAAAGGTCTAGGAGCCGCAGTCACACAAGGAAGGTGGAGAGAAATCCCCTAGTCGCACTGAACAAGGCAACATGAGGTAGGGCATTGTGGTTCCAGGAGGAGCACTCGAGTATCAGTGCCTGAGCCAAGGAGATTTGGGGCTTTGGGAAGCTGGGTTCCTTCTGCTGGAGGTGATCATCATGAGGCAGGCTAGTGGCAGCCCTCAGACTTGCAGACAGTGTGTCTTCGGGGTGATGGCAAAGTCTGAAATGGATCATTGCTGTAACGTGTCCTTTTGCATCTTGGATAAAGCCCAGAGAGATCTCTTTCTGGGGCAGGAAGGAAGGGGTCCTAACTCTTTGTCACATTGATGTTGATCACAGGGGAAAAGGAGGTGTTTTCTACACCACACCTGCTAGGAATCCTGCAGAACTGTGGTCGCACTCCCTTGAAGTGGTGCCCAAGAAATGCATGGAACTATCCTTTCTTTCCTGGCCCCGGGGATCCAGAACCCAAGGTGTTAATTGGCTTTCAATTATCGTGATTGTAATTGGCCATTATAATCAAGGATTTGACCTTAGTTGGGGCTTCAAGAAAGGAAAGTAATGTTTTGGATGTAAGACCAGCTAGGGCAGAGGCAAAGAGTGGCTCTTGCTTCTATTTCCTGAAGCAGCTTGAGTCCTGTTGGAACACTCCTTCACATCCAAATTTAGCAGGTCTTCTATGGAAATGGGGCTTGCCCAGGAGCTCAAATGATGAAGATTCGGCTTGCATTGTGGGAGACCTGGGATCGATTCCTGGGTCAGGAAGATCGCCTGAAGAAGGGCATGGCAACCCACTCCAGTATTCTTGCCTGGAGAATTCCA